AGCAGGAATCCTGGGGCTAAGTGGAATAATGAAGCAAGCTTTCATCTTAAGGAATTTTGCAGTATCTAATTTTATTAACGTATTTAATAAACATAAGTTGTTTTTCAAATCCTCAAAGGGTGCAGAAGACAGGAACCAAACCCCAGGGCCAGCCCAGTGTGGAAAGTCTAATAGAAACCACCACATAGAGTGGACACCCAAAGGGCGAGAAACAAATTTGCCTGCTCTTAAGGGAGCTGCAAGGAAAATTTGCCTTTCTCAAATCTGATACTAATTTGGGGTGGAAGGGAAGCTCCTCTAGCTTTTTCTTGCTTTATCCTGATGGTATATGGTGAAAAGATAATTAGAAAATATTTTATTATAAAAAAATTTGAATCTATATAGAAATAAGATCATAGTAAATCCCCACCATGCATCTACCACTCTGCTTCAACATGTGGTCAGTCTGGCCTTGCCTGTTTCTTCTTTTCTAATCCCCTCCTTCAGTTATATTGAAGCAAATGCCAAACATATTATTCTGTCTGTAAATATGAAAGGATAACTCAAACACTGATACTTGCAATATCAAAGCTTGCTGGTCTCACCATACGCTTTTTATTCAAGTGTGTTGCAATGGCAGCATCTTTGGTAATGAAGAACTCCGACTGAACTCTTTCAAGAACTGGCCCCAGGCATCCCCTGTGGGAGCTGCAGCTCTGGCCAAAGCAGGTTTTTTCTACATAGGTGAGTCAGCAGTTTGCCCCAAGCTCTTGCCTTGCTGCCCATTTAAACCCCACATACACTTCATGATCCTGGGCTCGTATTTAACTAAGCTCAACAATCCCTACTTCTTTTCATTATTTCTTTTTCTTTTTAAAAAATATTTATTTATTTATTTATGCTGTGCCGGGTCTTAGTTGCAGCGCATGGGATCTTCATTGTGGTGTGCGGGATCTTTCTTTTTAGTTGCGGCAGGTGGGCTCCCTAGTTGCGGCATGTGGACTTCTTAGTTGTGGCATGTGAACTCTTAGTTGTGGCATGCGTGTGGGATTTAGTTCCCCTACCAGGGATTGAACCCAGGCCCCCTGCATTGGGAGAGCCGAGTCTTACCCACTGGACCGCCAGGGAATTCCCTCATTATTCCTTATATATTCCTTTTCCTTTCTGTGTCAGATGGCCATACCTACCTATAAGAGGAGCTGGAACGTTTAACTTTTCTTCTGGGTAGCAATGTGCCCAGCTGAAAATTGGGGTTTCTGTTACTATGGAAGAATGAGAGATAACTAGGAGTGTGGATAGCGGTTTTTGCCACACACTCCGTGGAAGAGAAAGTAAGAAAATTCCTTTTAATGATTCCTAAGCATGTAGAATCTTCCATCAGTTCATAGTATTCTCTCTTGAGCTGCTGGTCATCAGGGAGTTCCACTCTGTAATGCACAAAGAGCGGGCAGGTTCCCCTCAGCTAAACCTCTGCCTGAGGTACAATAAGGTGAAAGGATATTGTGTCCTTCCTGGGAAGCTTGCTGGCCTTCTTCAGACCAAACACACACATGCTAAGTTACAGTGGAGGGTCCGTGTGGACCTTCTACAGAGGGGTCAAGTCAAGAATACCACAGAGCAGTACAGAGTAGGGGAATGTCGTGTTCACTTGAACTGACATGTTCCATTGGTACAAAAAATCTTAATGCCTCACAGGCTTAAGCATTTGGAAAGGCGGTGTTCCACCCTTTCTTCCTGCTTTCTCCATTCTATCCTCCTCTTGCCAGCCTTCCTCTAGGACCCTCTGTCCAGTGTCCTCACCCTCTTCCTTTTGAACCTCCTCCTCTCCCCACAAATCCTAGACATCTCACCCTTTTGGGGTCTTGCAAGCTCTAGGACCTCCTATTTTTATCCAGACACAAAGGGAGGTTTTCCTCCGCTCTGGCTTTACAATGCCTACAGGAGTCCAAGAAGAGAAGGAAGATGATGGATGCTCCATTTCTAGTTCAATCTTTTGGTAGATCCAAATGCTAATTTCCTTCCAAAGAAATAGAGTCTCACATGAAGACTTGATCCTACTTCTAGTGGAATAAACCTAGCAATAATGTAGTAAGAGGCATTTGATTCTTCATGAACTTACTTACATGAGAGTTGCTATATTTGATCATATATATTTTCCTGAGCTCCAAATATTTTCTTTCTGATTTATTCATTAAATAAATAACTTACTGAGTGCCTAGTAAGTCCTAGGCACTCTTCTAGGTCCATGAGATTCATTAGGGAGCAAAACAGGAAAAAATCTCTTCCTTCATGGAACTTCAATTCCACATTCTGATTTGCAAATCTCTTGCTCCATAGAATGAGGAGGGGACAGGGAGAGGGTGTTAACCAGTGCGTGGTCATAGGAACATTGAATGTTACTTGTTCATGACCCCATTGGTGAGAGAAGAGCCCTAAATAGAATATTTCCTCACTTGTGACCCAATTTGTGACTTTGTCACAAAATCTGATTGAAAGTGCAAGTAGGGTTTTGCTAATAAAGGCCTGGTAGTTATTATGTGTGTCACTCGACAAATACACTGGCCAGTGGCGCTGATCAAATTTCCTTACTTCTAGGTAAAAGCGACATCGTCCAGTGTTTTTCCTGTGGAGGATATTTGTATAAGTTTGAGGAAGGTGATGACCCATTAGAAGGACACACCAAATATTTTCCCAAGTGAGTAGAATTTTAGTGTCTATGAATCTGGATGTATTGATACTTTAGCAATTTTCCCCTCATTTTATATTCTGATTAAGTCTTTGCCCACCTCTCTGATTCTTACGATGAAGGATGAGTCTTTTTCTCTTTCATGCCCTTGCTTTCATGACCCCTTTCCCATCTAGCCTTCCTCTCACTATAGTCACAGCACAGTTTTGGTTCAATCATTATTTTCACATTACATGTTTACATTAGCATGACTTCATAAAGGCAGAGCCTAGTAATAAATAATTTACCTTCCCTCCCTGTACCACTTCCAATTTTTGTAGTAAGTAACAATTGTCTTATTAGTATGTTTGCTTAGTTTTTTGGCTTTTGAGGTGAAATTCACACATAAACTATTTTAAAGTGTACAGTCCAGTGGCATTTAGTACATGCAACATGCAATGTTATGCAACCACCCCCTGCTGTCTAATTCCAAAACATTTTCATTATCCCAAAAGAGAACTCTGTACCCATTAAGCAGTCATTCGCTATCTCCCCAGTGCACCCTAACTCCTTAGAGCTACCAGTCAGCCTTCTGTCTCTATAGATTTACTGTTCTGGATATTTCATGTAAATGGAAGCATGTAATATGATCTTTTGTATTTGGCTTCACTTCGCACAATGTTTTGAGGTTCATCCATCTTGTAGAATGTATCAGTACTTCATTCTTTTTTATGGCTGAGATATATGTGTATATGTATATATATGTATGTATTTCAGTTTCTCCATCTCCTCGCCAACACTTGTTATTTTCCTTTTTTAAAAATATACCCATTTTCTTAGTTTTAAAATGTATTTAGCACCAGTTCATCTTCAAATTCTGCCAAATGTTTAAATCTTCTGTCTGGTCATTTAAACTTGTAAGATAGCGCACCATTTTCATTTTCTTAAAGGAGTCTGTTGTGAAGTCTCTGACTTGCTTCAATATGAACTATTTGTCCTGTAGTCACCCTAGGGTCCTGGGATTGTTCTTCACGGTCATCCTAGGGATTCCTATTGCCTCTCTCCTGTGTTGTAGCTCCTGTTTCCTGGATCTACTGTCACCCTCTTCTTGGTTTATTTACTCACTTTGTTGTTGTTTTGTTTTGTTTAATTGTGGAATTGGATTATGTCTTTTTATTTTTTAATTAATTTTTATCAGAGTATAGTTGCTTTACAATATTGTGTTAGTTTCTGCTGTACAGCAAAATGAATCAGATATATATATATATATATATATATATATATATATCTCCCATTGAGGATACCACAGTGCATTAAGGAGAGTTCCCTGTGCTATACAGTATGTTCCCATCAGTTGTCTACTTTATACATAGTATCAATAGTGTATATATATATCCCCTCTTTTTTGGATTTCCTTCCCATTTAGGTCACCACAGTGCATTAGAGTTCCTTTTGCTACACGGTATGTTCTCATTAGTTATCTATTTTATACATAGTGTCAATAGTGTATGTGTGTCAATCCCAATCTCCCAATTCCTCCCACCACCCCCCTTCCCCCTTGGTATCCATACATTTGTTCTCTATGTCTTTTTCTGCTTTGCAAATAAAATCATCTATACCATTTTTCTGGATTCCACATATATGTGTTAATATATGATATTTGTTTTTCTCTTTCTGCCTTACTTCACTCTATTCATTCACTTTGGGACACTCCTCCACAGTTCCCTGGGAAAGATTGCAGAAGCGATACATGTTTTTAGCTTCCATTTAATGCATGTATCTGAATATTTATATATATTTTCTCACACTCATTTGGTAGTTTAGCTAGGTGTAGAATTCCAGGTTGGAAGTCATTCTAAGTTGAACAGGCATTACTATATTTTCTAATAGCTTCCAATACTGCTGTTGAAATTCCATGTCTTTCTGATTCTTAATCCTTTCATTGCAAACTACTTTTTCCATCCTGGATGCATTTAGGATTTTCTGTTTGTTTCCAGTGTTCTAAAATTTCGTGAATAAATGGCTACTTTTTAATATTTATTTTCTGTAGCTCTTTAACCTTTTTTTTTTTTTTTTGGCTTATTTTTCACTCACCAAACTATTCAAAAATGTTCAACTGTAAGAGAACATTTTTTTGTTTTCACTTTGTAATTAGTAAGTGCTCTTCCAGAAATAAATATTAATATAAACAGGTCTTAAATACTTCCATCTAAATCTAAGATTCTAAAGAGGATACAGTTTTGAAGGTGTTTTGACAGAAGTAGTTGTGTTTTTTTCTTTCTTATTTGGATTTAATATTTTGTAAATTTTTAAACAGTGGGGATATTCTTCTTAATTCTTGGAAAAATAAGCTAGGATGCAGTCTAATTTTATTTAGAACCTCTCCTGGACTCTATCAACTCCCTTTTTGTATGGCATTTTTATTTTTCCTCTGCCTTTTTTGGTTGTTTGTTTTTTGTTTTGTGGTTTTTGTTTTTTGGTGCTCCATGTGAGGCTCAAATCTTGTGCCTCTTTTTTTTTTTTTTGCTGTACGCGGGCCTCTCACTGTTGTGGCCTCTCCCGTTGCGGAGCACAGGCTCCGGACGCGCAGGCTCAGCGGCCATGGCTCACGGGCCCAGCCACTCCGCGGCATGTGGGATCTTCCCAGACCGGGGCACGAACCCACGTCTCCTGCATCGGCAGGCGGACTCTCAACCACTGCGCCACCAGGGAAGCCCCTGCCTCTTTTTTAAAATCACAAACTAGGATGCATTTAAAGGAGTACCTAAAATGTTTATGTATGATTTAAAGGACAATTAACAAAGAAACAAATGAACCCAGCACTAAAGTTAAGAAATTGAATATTATCAAGTCCTTAGAATGCTACTGTGTGCCCACCTTCCCAATTCTGATTATATCCTTGTCCCTCCAATTCAGAGGTAAACATGATCCTGAAATTTCGGTTAATTGTTCCTTCTTCTCCTAATGGTTTCACCAACTACATGTGTATCATTAAACACATTTAACTTATTCTTGAAGTTCAAATAAATGGAAGCATACTGCATGGTTCTTCTGTGATGACTGACTTATTTTACTCAAACTTTACGCAAAGTTTTTGAGACTCATTCATAATTATGTATAGAGCTGTAGTTCACTTGTTCTCGTTGCTATATAGTATATTGTTTTATGAATATATAATTTATCCATTCTATTCTAGATTCAACATCTGGGTTGTTTTCAGAGTGTCACAATTCAAATAATACCACTATGAACCCTCTTGTGCATAATTCCCAGTGCTCACATGTGTTTCTCCAGGATGCATAACCAACCATGGAATTGCAGAATAATAGGGTTTGCACATATTCAACTTTATTAGATTATGCAAAACTTTTTTTGAAGTGGTTGTACTGATTTATATTCTCACTAGCATAGATGTTTCCATTCTGTCTGCTTCCTCACCAATTTAGTATTGCCCAAATTTTAATTTTTGTCAATCTAATTACTAATAATTTTGAGCATATTTTCATATTTTCCCATACAGTTTCCTTGTTCTTTTTCTTCAGGACCATATCTTGGCTATTCTTTGCCCTTTCCTCTTTCATATTCAGATAATGTATGAAATGTTCCGCTTTATCTCTCATAGTACTCCTTATTCTTAAGTCTTTATCTGATATATATGTAGCCATCCCAGCTTTTGTGTAGTTTTTACATGATACTACCTTTTTTGAAATAGTTCTACTTTTTTTTTTGGCCACGCTGCATGGCTTGAGGGATCTTAGTTCCCCGACCAGGGATTGAACCCAGAGAGCATCAAGTCCTAACCACTGGACCGCCATGGAATTCCCGAAATCATTTTACTTTTAATCTATGACTTTATATTTAAAGTGAGTTTCTTGTAGGCAACATAGTTGGGTCTTGCTTTTTTTTTAACAGTCTGACAATATCTGCTTTCTTTTTTGTTGTTGTTGTTTGTTTTTGTTTGTTTGAGTTTTTTTGGCCATATTGCCAGCTCATGGGATCTTAGTTCCCTGACCAGGGATCTAACCTGGGCCCCTGGCCGTGAGAGCTCGGAGTCCTAACCACTGGACCCCCAAGAAATTCCCCAGTATCTGCTTTCTAATGGGAGTGTTTAGAACATTTACATTTAATATAATTATTAATATGGTTGGATTTAAATCTGCTATTTTGCTATTTGTTTTCTATTTATCCCATCTGTTCTTTGTTTCTTCTTCTTTTCCTGACTTGCATTTGAGTATTTTTTAGTATTCCATTTTATCTCTATTGTTGGCTTTTTAGATGTACATCTTTATCTTTTTAGTACCTGCTCTAGAATCTACATAATGCATGTTTAACATATCACAGTCATGTTCAAATAATATTATCACAGTTGACCTATAATGTATGAACCATATAACAGTATACTTCTATTTCCCCCCCATTGTTTGTGATCTTGTTTTCATACATTTTTACATCACATATATTCTAAATCTCACAATATCTTTGCTCTACAAATTATCTTTTAAATACATTTTAAAAAGAGAAAAAACGTATTTCTTATTTACCCATTGAGTTACCATCCCTGGCACACTTCATTCCTTTGGGTAGAACCAAGTTTGCATCTGTTATCATTTTCCTTTTAACTGAAGAACTTCCTTTAACTTTTCTTGTAGTGCTGGTCTGCTGGCAACTAACTGTATTGGCTTTACTTGTATGAAAATGCCTGTATGTTACCTTCCTTCAGAGTCCTTTTCCTTGATGGGTCTATCTGCATAGTGACCTTGGACAGAAGCATTTGAGGTCCTACTAGCTATTTTCCTGTAGCTACCCTTCTATTCCTGGGCTCATCTTCAAGTAGGAAAATAAAAATGATGTGTCCTCTTGCTTTATCTCCTGCTTTCCTGTAATTCAGCAGCATAAAAATAAGCCAAGATAGTTGTTTCTAGTTTTATCATTTACCTACTGACATTTATAGTTCTCATCTATCCAAGTTAATGATTGTGGGTAGAACTCTTTAGAATTTTCTTCCTTGGTTCTTCAGGCAGACATCATACCTGAATTTAGAAGGTATTTTATGTTCCAGTTTCATGATGTCTAGCAAATTGTTTTTAGAGAGTATGTTTGTGGCCATTCTTTAGTCTTCATATTGATGGAGTTTTTTTCTAAAATAAACATTTTATTTGGAAAAAATTTTTGACTTAGAGAAAAGGTGAAAAGATAATACAGAGAGTTCCTATATTCCCACACCCAGTTTCCTCTAACACTAACACCTTATATTATCCTGGTACATTTGTTAAAATTAAAAAACCAACACTGGTACATTGCCATCAACTCCAGATGTTATACATATTTCACCATTTTTTCTACTAATGTCCTTTTTGTTGTCATTATTCCAGAATCCATAGAGTTGTCTTCTCTATTTTTTTTTCCTTTAGGTTCATTTTAGTTGGTCTCATGGATGAGTGTTAAATATGCTCCCATTTCACCAAATTGGCTGGTTATCCCCACCACTACTTTATGAACCATTTATATCTCTACTGCTGAGATTTATAGTCTACATGTCTTGTTTGATAAAGACACTGACAGAATCACTGGAAATGTTAATTTTATACTTAATTTTTGCCGCTAAAACTCTTAACAGTGTTTTTGAAAACCTAATGCAAATGCTTAATTGCATACAACTATTTTTTAAAATTTATTTATTTATTTATTTATTTATGGCTGCGTTGGATCTTCGTTGCTGCGTGCAGGCTTCTCATTGCGGTGGCTTCTCTTGTTGCGGAGCACGGGCTCTAGGTGCACGGCTTTCAGTAGTTGTGGCATGTGGGCTCAGTAGTTGTGGCTCAGGGGCTCTAGGGCTCACAGGCTCAGTAGTTGTGGTGCATGGGCTTAGTTGCTCCTCAGCATGTGGGATCTTCCCGGACCAGGGCTCAAACTCATGTCCCCTGCATTGGCAGGTTTGTTTTTTTGCAGTACGCGGGCCTCTCACTGCCGCAGCCTCTCCTGTTGCAGAGCACAGGCTCCGGACGCGCAGGCTCAGCGGCCATGGCTCACGGGCCCAGCCGCTCCGTGGCATGCGGGATCCTCCCGTACCGGGGCACGAACCCGTGTCCCCGGCATCGGCAGGCGGACTCCCAATCACTGCGCCACCAGGGAAGCCCGCAGGCAGATTCTTAAACACTGCGCCACCAGGGAAGTTCCATACAATTATTTTTATAACTTTTAACTTTTGTGCTTAGTTGTCAGTTTCTCCACAGTATGAAGTGCTCTGCAGAAGTGATTCCAGACCTTCAGAGCCATGGTGAACTTTCTGACTTAACGGTAAGAACACCAAGCCTTATTTATTTTCAGAGTGTTGTGATCATGTGATTAAAAACTGTTTTTGAACAGGAACTGCTCATCATAAAAAAAATAAATAAATGAATTCTACAAATATCTGTTAAGCACCGATCATGCGCCAGTTGCAGATGGGGATGCTACAATAAACAAAACATAATACCTAGTTTCATGAAATGTAGAGTCAAACCCTTCTACTTTGGGGCCCAGACTTGTTTGGACCTAAAAGTTGATTAGCATCCAGGCTACCTGGATTCCATCTGTGATCATCATTTGGAGAACAGTAAGGTCTGACTTGGTAGTTGGCTTTTCTCAAAGCTGGGAAGATATGTTTCTTTTACAACAGCAACCAACCAACCAAATCAAAAATACAGATTAATAGGTTGACCCCTTTTTAAACTGAGAAATTCTACATAGTTCTCTAGGAGATTAGCCACTGCCAATTTAATACACACACACCCCTTATTTGAGGCTGTATGTTAGGTGTATTATGTTTGTCATCCCCCAAAAAGAAAACAAGGTAATTTGTCGTTCAGTTGATTCATCTTTGCTCATCCTCCCACCTCCCTTAACTAGCTTATTTTTAAAAAATATTTATTTATTATTTATTTTTTATTTATTATGGCTGTGCCAGATCTTAGTTGTGGCATGTGGGATTTTTAGTTGTGGCATGGAGGCTCATAGTTGTGGCATGTGGACTCTTAGTTGCAGCATGCATGCAGGATCTAGTTCCCCGACCAGGGATGGAACCCGGGCCCCCTGCACTGGAAGCTGGAGTCTTACCCACTGGACCACCAGGGAACCCCTTAAATAGCTTATTTTTAAAGGAAGAAACATAACCTTCCTATATCCCAAGTATGTAATATTTAAAAAACTGTTGATAACTAAGATCAGAAGTTGCACCTAATGATTTCTGGAGGGTCCATCTTGCTCTAGACACTGTGATTCTAATCATCTGGACAGTAATCACGGCTCAAGTCACCCATGGAATGCACTGTTTGGATATCACCCAGGAGCACACGCTTGCGTGTGTTTGCAGATCACTTATTGTTTCATATTTGTAGCGCTCCTCCCTGCAACTGGTGTAAATACTTGAGGATGGGTTGGGTTTAGAAAATGTCTGGTCCCTAATTGTAATTCAAAGCCCCACCCTGTTATACAAATGCTGACTTAATAGAGGATTTTCTTTTCAAAGGAAACTACAAGTGAAAGCAATCTTGAAGAGTCAGCAGTGAGTTCTGCAGTGCCAGGTAAGGATCTGGAAGTAGCACATGGGATTAGATGAATGTGTACATATATTTCTACGTAGGGGATTTTAAAAGAGTATTTATAACTGTGCCTCCTTGCTTTTCTCCACAGAGTTGGCCCATGGTGAAGCCCAGTGGCTTCAGGAGGCAAAGAGTCTGAGTGAGCACCTGAGAAAAGCCTACACCAGTGCTCCTTTCTGCCACATGTCTTTGCTTGAGGTCTCTTCCTGTCTAGCCACCGATCAGCTGCTGAATTGTGATCTGTCCCTTGCTTCAAAACACATCACCAATACTGTGCAGGAGCCTGTGGTATTGCCTGAGGTCTTTGCTAACTTGAACTCCGTCATGTGCGTGGAGGGTGAAGCTGGTAGTGGAAAGACGGTCCTCCTGAAGAAAGTAGCTCTTCTATGGGCATCAGGATGCTGTCCCTTGTTACACAGGTTCCAGTTGGTTTTCTACGTCTCCCTTGGCTCTACCAGACTGGACCAGGGGCTGGCCAATGTCATTTGTGACCAACTCCTAGAGACAGAAGGATCTGTTACTGAAATGGGCCTGCGGAACATCATCCAGCAGTTAAAGAACCAGGTGTTATTCCTTTTGGATGACTACCAAGAGATGTGCTCAATCCCCCAAATCATAGAGAGGATGATTCAAAAAAACCATTTGTCAAGGACCTGCTTATTGATTGCTGTCCATACAAACAGGGCTAAGGACATCCGCCGACACCTAGATACAATTCTAGAGATCAAAGCGTTTCCCTTCTATAATACCATCTATATATTACGGAAGCTCTTTCCAGATGATTTGACCCGTCTGCGAAAGTTTATGATTGACTTTAGAATGAATGAAACATTGCTGGGAATTCAGAAAACTCCCTTCTTCATAGCAGCAGTCTGTGCTAATTGGCTTCGGTATCCTTTTTGTCAGTCCTTTGATGATGTGGCTGTTTTCAAGTCCTATATAGAATGCCTTTTCTTAAAGCACAAAACTGCAGCTGACCTTCTCAAAGCAACTTTGTCCTCCTGTGGTGAGCTGGCCTTGAAAGGGTTTTTTTCATCTTGCTTTGAGTTTAGTGATGATGATCTCATAGAAGTAGGGATTGGTGAAGATGACGATCTAGCCATGTACCTGATGAGCAAATTCACAGCCCAGAGATTGAGGCCAGTCTATCAGTTTTTGAACGCTTCATTACAAGAATTTCTTGCTGGGATGAGGCTGACTGAACTCCTGGATTCAGATAGGCAAGAGGATCAAGATTCGGGACTTCATTATTTGAAACAAATTAACTCAGCCATGATGGCTATAGGTCCCTATGAAAAATTTTTGAACTATGTCTCTTGCCACTCTTCAACAAAGGCAGGGCCAACGATTGTATCCCAATTGCTTCTTTTGGTGGATAATCAAGAGGCACTGGAGAATATATCTGAAAATGATGACTACCTGAAGCATCATCCAGAGATTTCAGAGAAGATGCAGTGTCTCAGGGTGTTGTGGCAATACTGTCCAGAAGATTACCTTTCACGGGTTTCAAAACATTTACTGGCTCTGGCTGTAAAAATTGCTTATGGAAGCAACACTGTTGCTGCCTGTTCTCCATTTATTTTGCAGTTCCTTCAAGGGAGAACCCTGTCTTTGAGTGTACTTAAGTTACAGTATTTTTTTGACCACCCAGAAAGCCTGTTATTGTTGGGGAGAGTCCAGGTCTCCATAACAGGAAATAGGTTACCCAAATCAGATTTTTCATTACTGGAAAAAACTTTCGACAAATCCCAGGCACCAACTATAGATCAGGACTATGCTTCTGCCTTTGAACTTGAGAGTGAATGGAAGCAGAATTTAGTTGAAAAACAGGAAACCGTGAACAGTTTTCTGAACATGCAACTCAAGGCACCAGCAGATATCAGCACTGGCTATTGGAACCTTTCTCCAAAGCAGTACAAGATTCCCCTTCTGGAAGTTCATGTGACTGGTACTGATGCTGTGGATCAGGAGATGCTAAGGTTTCTAACGAAAGTTTTCTCAGCTTCACAGCACATTGAACTCCACTTGACCAGGAGCAGGTGTTTTATTGAAAGCATCCGCCCAGCTCTTGAGCAGTATAAGGCCTCGTTCACCAGGTGCTCCATAAGCCAATCTGAGCTGAGTGCAGTAGAACAGGAATTGCTTCTCACTCTGCCTTCCCTAGAATCTCTTGAAGTCTCAGAGACAACCCATCTACAAGGTAAACCTGCATCTGTTTTAGATGACTGTTAGGATGTGTACTCTTATCTTCTCACTCTTAGTTTTAGGTGGATGAAAACTTCTGAAAGTGTGAGACCATAAATCCTTGCTGATTGAACAGATATAAAATAAATCTTTACTAACTTATTTCTGTCAGTAATATGAATTACTGAAAGGCTTCCAAATAACAGAATGGCTTTCAAACTCTGAGAAAAATAATACAATGACTAATGAAGTCTCTTAATAAACAAATGACTTGTTATTAGTAAAAGAATGATCTATACGTAAATGATGCTTGAGAATTACCCTCACCCCACCTGCTTCATGGAAGAAAGGGCTTGTACTCTGGGAAATAAACAAGTGGGAAGTAGTATCTCCCAGTTATTTGTGTCTCTTTTCACTGGTCTAAGCAGTGTTTGAGAGTTTTCAGTATAGACTTTATTATCTTTCATTAAATCTATTCCTAGGTACTTGTGTTTTTGATATTCCTGTAAATGGTATTTAAATTTTTTCATTGTCGGATTGTTGCTAGTATGGGTTTGATTTTCAGCAGTTTGTTAAATGCCTAGGTGTGCTTTGCCTTGTATCTGTCTTACTTGAGGGTCACTGAACATATTTTTGGATCTGTGGGTTGATACTTATCATCAAATTTAGAAAAATTTTGTTTTTTTCAAATATTTATCATGGTAAAACATACATGAAACCTTAAAATTTTTTCAGTATACAATTCAGTGGCATTAATTACAATTACAGTGTTGTGCAACCATCACCACTATCCATTTCCAGAACCTTTTCATCATCCCAAACTCTGTACCTATTAAACAATACCTCCTTCCTCTCCCCAGATGCTGATGTCTCTATGAATTTGTCTATTCTATTTCACATAAGTGAATCCATACAATATTTTGTCCTTTTGTGTCTGGCTTTCACGTTTTTAAGGTTCATCCATGTTGTGGCATGCGCCAGAACTTCACTACTTTTATAGCCGAATAATATTTCATTGTATGTATATATCACATTTTATTAATCAGTTTGTCTGTTGATGGACACTTGCACTGTTTATTCTGGCTAAAGTTGCCATGAACATGGGTGCACAAATATTACTTGGAGACCCTATTTTCAATTCTTTTGTATATATACCCAGAAGTGGAATTATTGGCTGTTAATGATAGTAATTCTATTTTAATTTTCAAGGAAACTCCAAACTGTTTTCCATGCTGGCTGCAGCATTTTACATTCCTACAAGCAATGTACAAGGGCTCCAGTTTCTTCACATCCTCAATGCTTTTTTGTTTTTTTTAAATCAGAGACATCCTAATAGGTGTGAAATTGTATCTCACGTTGGTTTTGATTTGCATTTTCCTAATGACTAATGCTGTTGAGCATCTTTTCATGTGCTTATTGGTTGTTAATGTGTCTTTTCTGGAGACAGTCTATTAAATCCTTTTGCCCATTTAAAAAAATTGAAGTGTAGTTTATTTACAATTTTGTGTTAGTTTCTGGTGTACAGCAAACTGATTCAGATAGTGTGTGTGTGTGTGTGTGTGTGTGTGTGTGTATAAACCTTTTCAGATTCTTTTCCATTATAGATCATTACGAGATATTGAATATAGTTCCCTGTGCTATACTGTAGGTCCTTGTTTATTTTACACATAGTAGTCTATATCCATTAACCTCAAACTTCTAATTTATCCCTCCCTCCCTCCCCTTTCCCCTTTGGTAACCATAAGTTTTTTTTCTATGTCTGTGAGTCTATTTCTGTTTTGTAAATAAGTTCATTTGTATCACTTTTTTAGATTCCACATAGAAGTGATATCATATGATATTTGTCTTTCTGTCTGACTTACTTCATTTAGTATGATAATCTCTAGGTCCATCCATGTAGCTGCAAATGGCATTATTTCATTCTTTTATATGGCTGAGTAATATTCCGTTGTGTGTGCATCATATCCTCTTTATCTAGTCATCTGTTGATGGACATTTAGGTTGCTTCCATGTCTTGGCTATTGTAAATAGTACTGCTGTGAACACTGTGGTGCATGCACCCTTTCAAACCATGGTTTTCTCCTGATACATGCCCAGGAGTGGGATTGCTGGATTATATGGTAACTCTATTTTTAGTTTAGTTTTTTTTTTTTTTTGGCTGCGTTGGGTCTTCATTGCTGCATGCAGCCTTTCTCTAGTTGCAGTATGTGGGCCTCTCATTTTGGTGGCTTCTCTTGTGGAGCACAACTCTAGGAGCGTGGGCTCCAGTAGTTGTGGCATGTGGGCTCAGTAGTTGTGGCTCACGGGCTCTAGAGCACAGGCTCAGTAGTTGTGGTGCACGGGCTTAGTTGCTCCATGGCATGTGGGATCTTCCTGGACCAGGGCTCGAACCCGTGTCCCCTGCATTGGCAGGCGGATTCTTAACCACTGCGCCACCAGGGAAGTCCCTATTTTTAGTTTTTTAAAGAACCTCTTTACCATTTTCCATAGTGGCTGCACCAATTTACATACCCACCAACAGTGTAGTAGGGTTTCCTTTTTTCCACATCCTCTCCACCATTTTTTGGAGACTTAAAAAAATTTTTATTTATTTATTTATTTTTGGCTGTATTGGGTCTTCGTTGCTGTGCGCGGGATGCTCTTCATTGCAGTGTGTGGTCTTCTCGTGGCAGTGGCTTCTCTTGTTGCAGGGCACAGGCTCTAGTTGTGTGGGCTTCAGTAGTTCTGGCTCGCAGATTCAGTAGTTGTGGCTCGTGGGCTCTAGAGCACAGGCTCAGTAGTTGTGGTGCACGGGCTTAGTTGCTCTGTGGGATCTTCCTGGACCAAGGCTCGAACCCGTGTCCCCTGCATCGGCAGGCAGAGTCTTCACTTGCACCACCAGGGAAGTCCCTATTTGTAGACTTTTTGATGATAGCCATTTTGACCATTGTCAGGTGATACCTCGTAGTTTTGATTTGCATTTCTCTAATAATTAGCAATGTTGAGCATCTTATGTGCTTGTTAGCCATCTGTATGTCTTCTTTGGAGAAATGTCCCTTTAGGTCTCCTGCCCATTTTGTGACTGGGTTGTTTGTTCCTTTGTCCATTTTTAAAATTGTGTTGTCTTTTTGTTTTGAGTTATAGGCGTTCTTTGTATAATTAAATCTTTATTGGACACTTGGTTTTAAAATATTTTCCCCTTTTCTGTCTCAATAATGTCTCAATAATGTACTTCAATCTGTAAAGTTTCAAATTTCGATGAAGTCCAACTTGTCTGTTTTTCTTTTGTGCTAGTGTTCTTGGTAGCATATCTAAGAATCTATTGTCAAATCCAAGGTCATGAAGATTTATTTCTGTTTTCTTGTAAGAGTTGTATGGTTTTAGCTCTTATATTTAGGTTGTTGATTCATTTTGAGCCAATTCTGTATACGGTGGTGGGAGGTAAGGGTCCAACTTCTTTGCATGGAGAAATTCAGTTGTCCCAGCCCCATTTGCTGAGATGTCTTTGTGAATCCAGAGTGTAGTACAGGGCTTCTCATATAGTAGATGAGAAATAAAATATTGCCTGCCACATCAGTAAACAAAGGATGTTGTAGCTATCAGCAATTGCAGCCACCCCTGATAGTGAGCCCTGAGGAAACTCAGGAAGGAAACAAAGAATACCTGCCATCTAGCAGTCATCAGACTGCAGCCACCCCAAAGGGTGCAGCTTGAAGTAACTCAGGATGTGAAAACACAGGATACTGGCCCCAGATAGCTGAGGTGCATATCAAAAGAATGATTTTAGTGACCCCAGACTCTTGCATCTTCCCATACATAGAAAAGTGCTAAATTCCTTAACTTGAGATATCTAGTTTTCTTTTATTAACAGTAATCTTTTGTTCTGACTACCTGCCTTTGTTGCAAAACTCCTATATATCCTAGCTCCCCACCTCACCTCCTTGGAGCAGTTTTCTCAGGATTACTTGAGATGCTGCCTCCCGGACTTGAAGTCCTAAGAATGTCCACTGAATAAAACATAACTCAAAACTTTTAGGTTGTGCATATATTTTTTTTTTAGTTGACATAATCAGTAAATGCTGCAGAAAGCATTATCTTCATATATGTGCTTTCTAAAAAAGAAAGTCTTATGGTATGTGAAAGGTTTTCATCTAAAATATGAAAATAGTTTGATGAATCAAATGACAGTTTGAAATTTTGCATTTGGAACACTTTAGATTAATAATGGGAAACTGTGTGCTACTTTCTAGATCAACTCTTTCTTAGTTTGGACAAGTTCTTGTGCTTGAAAGAACTGTCTGTGAATCTGGGTGATAAACGAGATGTTTTTTCAGTCATTCCTGAAGAATTCCTAAATCTCCACCATATGGAGAAATTATTGATCCGAATTTTAGCTGAATACGGTCCTTCCAAACTAGGTAAGTGTGGCACTTTGATTTACTTGTTTTTGTATCACTTGGAAAACCTACTTGGCCAATAATTTATTTGGATCCTGTGGATCTGAGGGTGAAGCCTGTATCCAAGGTAAATTGTCGGAATAGCACTTGTTGTCATTAAAAAATGACAGCTATTTGTAATTATTGAGCTGTTACTACGTGGTAGGAATTGTTCTAAGCACTGAATAAGTATTAACTCATTTAACCTTCATACCCATTCTACAAGGTAAATACTATTATGTTCTAATTTTGACAGTTGGGGAAATGGAGTTATAGAGGTTAAGTACTGATAAATTTGCTCAAGGTCACTCAGATAAGGAAATGGTAAATTTGCAATTAAACACAGGAATTCTGACTTTTAAGTCTGAGCTCTTAACCGGTGGTATTACTGCCTCTCCAAAAAATAGTTCTAGAGTTCTTTTATTTTGTTTTTGTTTAAGTTGCTCTTACGTTGCAATTTAGAGATCTGCCAGATAAGAGGGAAGGAAATCTGACTACTGGTAGTAATCAGAAGGCTTTCCCTGTTTCTCATCAGCCTTTATAAATATATTTCATCAACCATTCTCATGGCTGATGAACAACCTGTACAGCTATCTTTCTTAAATATATCATTTAGCAAAATGACTTAGGTATCAGCAGTTCCTTAGTTTAGTAGACTAAACACTAAAGACTAAAAAAAGGTAAATCTCTCCTGAACTGACATGCAGAGCTGCACGCAAAAAAATTTGTAGCTGACGCTGGAAGTAGTAGTTTTCTTATATTTCTCAGCAGTTTTTTCATCAAATTTAAGTTTTGCTTCAGAGTTGTCACTGCCTTTATGTTTCTTTGCATAGTGTTTCTATAGTGTAAACATCATGTGCAAACTTAGAGACATTAGGATGTTAAAGCTGAAGGTTTTAGCTGAGTCAATGCCATTACTATATAGAGGAGAAAACTCATTCCCCAGAGAGGGTCAGTAACGACGGTTAACGTAGCTCATCAGTTAGTCACAGACCCTGAACCTAAGCCCAATTCACTACATCATGATGCTTTATTTTAATTCACTATTGTTGAAACAAGTTAATAAATTATATGACTAATTCTGATAGAAAATTTCAATCTCTGATGCCTTAAATTTGATATTTTACAGTCAAATTAATTCAGAATTCTCCAGACCTTCGTGTTTTCCATCTGCAATGTAATTTCTTTTCGGATCTTGAGTCTCTCATGACTGTACTTGCTTCCTGCAAGAAACTTGAAGAAATTAAGCTTACTGGACCATTTTTTAAAGCCGCCCCATTTGGTAAGAGCTAAAATTGTAAAATTTGGTTTAAGATGCTTCTGTGGACAGTCATTTTTTAACAGCCAAATATTAAAAATGCAATTGATGTCAAAGAACAAAACTATTGCAATAAATATCTGATCTTAAATGAATTTTCAAGTAAGGTATATTTGTTTCTAGATGTTTAAACATTTCTAGTTATGAGAATTGTTTCCTGAGCAAAGATTTGTGTTATCTACTTGTCATACCAATTAATTCAATCTGAATTAATATATTAATTTCTATCACTTTTAAAATACTCTTTAAACACATTACTTTTTGGTATAAGAAATGTAGCTGACGTAACTAAATTTTTCTTTTCCCTTTTATAGTCATTGTTTTACCAAATTTTATTTCTCTGAAGATATTAAATCTTGAGCACCAATATATTCCTGATAAGGAAACAGCTGAAAAATTTGGTATGTTTATAAGACAGTGCCTAAAGCTTGCTCTTTATTTTCCCGCATAAAATCCTCCTATTTTGCATTAGCTATAACAAATTACAACATGTATTAGCTGCCCTTGCTCATTAGGAGGGACAGTGCTGCTCAGCTTTTACCCTCCAAATGCCTTGATCTCACTTGATGTCTTTTAAAGCAATATTCTCAGAGTGACTCATTTCTTTGAATACAGATTTGTTTGTTACAGCACTATGCAATTTCTTATTTATTTATTTATTTGTCTGCGCTGGGTCTTAGTTATGGCATGCGGGATCTTCGTTGCCACGTGCGGGATCTTCATTGCGGCATGCTGGATCTTTTAGTTGCAGCATGCGGGATCTTTAGTTGCAGCGTTGGGATCTAGTTCCCTGACCAGGGATCGAACCTGGGTGCCCTGCATTGGGAGCACAGAGTCTTAGCCACTGGATCACCAGAGAAGTCCCAGCACCATGCAATTTCATTGCCAGGTATCCATTCCAGACAAGTTAAATACCTGTTGTTTCAAAGGTTTCTAGAATATAGGTGAAAGTATCTTTTAAGGTTATGAAAACTCAGTATATGAAAACCTAGATTTAACAAAATGATAACTATAGAGATTACTTTTTCAACTTATTTTTTTATGATTACAAAAGCAATGTATGCTCTGGAAAAAAGTTCTAACAGGTCTTAAAAGATAAACTGAAGCATATTAAAAATTAAGAATTTATTTGAACAAAAATGGGGACTTCCCTGGTGGCGCAGTGCTTAAGAATCTGCCTGCCAATTCAGGGGACACAGGTTCGAGCCCTGGTCCGGGAAGATCCCACGTGCCACGGAGCAACTAAGCCCGTGCACCAGAACTACTGAGCCTATGCTCTAGAGCCCGCGAGCCACAACTACTGAAGCCCGTGCTACAAGCGCCCATGCTCTGCAACAAGCGAAGCCATGCTCAGGAGGGATCAAAGGGAAAAGTTAAGTTATGAGAGTGGTGGATTGTGAGGATTTAGTGCTAGGAGGAAGAGGCAGAACTCGTTGAGGATGACACCAGGACAGAAAGGAAGGGGGCTGAAGGCATTGAGGAGTTAGGAGAGTATCCTGGAGCCAGTAGAAGCTTCAGTCTAAAAGAGGAGATGGATGGGAATTCCCTGGTGGTCCAGTGGTTAGGACTCCACTCTTTCACAGCCGAAGGCCCGGGTTCAATCCCAGGTTGGGGAACTGCAAGCTGTGTGGTGCAGCCAAAAAAAAAGGAAATGGAGATGTGATAGGCCTTTTGGACTTCAGTACAGGAGAGACTGGTTGGGGAAGGGTGGAGGAATGGTTGTCTAGTGGTAGCAATGAAGGTCAAGGTGTAGGCTGACGCCTTTCTTGGAGAGAAAGAGGAATAGCCTCTGTGCTACATGGGGACTCGTAGAATGTGCATGATTTTGAGACTTTCAGTTACAATTCTTTGGGAACACAGTACAGAGAATAGCTTTTTTATATCTTCTGATAGCTTACACCTTAGGTTCTCTAAATAACCTGGAAGAATTGATCCTTCCTACTGGGGATGGGATTCATCAAGTGGCCAAACTGATCATCCAGCAATGTCAGCATCTTCACTGTCTCCGCATTCTCTCATTTTTCCAGACTTTGGATGATGACAGCGTGGTGGGAATTGGTGAGATACCCTCAGATAAACTCTTTCAGCTCACATGAAAGCCAGTGGTATTACTCAAGCTTTCTGCTGCAAAATGTCTGCAAAAACATTCGTCCCTCTAAAAATGTTCAACCCACTTCCTCATTTTTGCTAGTATATTGTTCCCTCTAATGTTCTGTGGATTTTGGTTCATTCTGGTCAGATTCAGAAGTAAAAGATAGCCTCCCACTTGAGACTACACAAGCCCTCAAGTCCACTCTTAACACCTAGTGTCTCAGACACCTGGCCACATACCCACCATGTACTCCTTTTTATAGTACTTTTTTTAAAATAGAAAATTAATACACGTAAAGTACAAAATCGTTAAGTGTACAGCTCAATGAGTTTTCAAGTGAACATACTTAAATCTTGTTACTCATACTTGTGTAACACTTACTCATTAGGTTACAATATAGAATATTACATCCCAGAAGCCGCCTTTGTGTCCCTTCTGACGCTGCATTCCCCTCCTTCCCAAAGGTGACCACCATACTGCTTTCTTTCACCATAGATTAGTTTTACCTGTTTTAAAAATATGTCACGGAATCCTCCACAGTATGTACCCTTGTGCCTGCCTCTTCGGGCTCAACATACTTGTGATACTTAGTCATACTGATGCGTGTGACTACAGAGTTCACTGATTTTCATTGCTGTATATTGTCCCATGTATGACCATACATACGCCAATTTATTTATCCATTCAACTGGATATGAGTTGGCTACTATGAATAATGCTGCTATGAACATTTTGTACATGACTGTTGATGCATATATGGAGGTATTTCTAGGGCGGACTTTGAGTCATTTGGTAAATATTCTGTTTTCCATAGTTGTACCAACTTACATTCCTACCAGCAGTTGTTTCACATTCTGGCTACTGCTTGGTATTGTCAGACCTTTAAACTTTAGCCATTCTGATGAATCTGTTGTGATATCTCATTGTGGGTTTTCTATTGGTATATGTTTGTGTTATCATTGGTTCAGTGTGGGCAAGTTACATTTTTCTAAGGATTTAAAAACTTTTCTAAAATTGCTCATAATACTTATAATTTAAAAAATATCTGTATGACCTGTGGTGATAGTCCCCTTTTCATTCCTGATATATTCAATACTTTTTTTTTTTTACCTGATTGGTTTTTCAATTTTATTAAAAATTTTTTTCTCTACACATGTTTTCCATTTATTCTGCTTTTATCTCTATTATCCCCTGCTACTTTCTTTGGATATAATTTGCTTTTTTTGTCCTACTTTCTTTCTTTCTTTTTTCTTTTTTTTGATATCCTAATTTTCTGAGATGGATAGTTAGAGCACTAACTTTGGCTTTAGCTCCCTCTCACAAGTTTTAGTGTCATATTTTCATTCTCATTCAGTTCAAAATATTTTCTAATTTCAGTTGTCACTTTTTTGCCACACCAGTTATTTAGAGATGTATCCCTTTTACTTTTAATCTTTCTATGTCCTTATATTTAAAGTGTGTCTCCTGTAAAAATATACAGTTTGGGTTTTTTTTTTTTTTTTTTTTTTTTTTGATCAATGGTGTTACTCAACCAGGAGAGAGATATATATAGTATTTTTCTGACCTGCTCCAACATAACCCTGTCCATTCATGCTTGCAAGCCAGGCTATCAATCTGCTTTTATCTTAACTTCTCTCTCTTCAAGGGTTTTGGGCGGATAAATATGACTCAGCAGAATCATGTGACAAATCAGGGGCTGTATGGTGGATGAGGCCAGTGTACCCACCCCGTGTCCCCTGCATCGGCAGGCGGACTCTCAACCACTGCGCCACCAGGGAAGCCCCAGTTTGGTTTTTTTAAATGTAATTTATTAATCTGTAATACTCCAATTAGAAGTAAATCTAATGTACTTATTGTTAAATTTATACTTCTTTATTAAAATTGGGCATTTTCTACTTTAAGTGATGGTGGTAGAAGAGGCTGGTTCAAATAACCTAGTCTACCAGTATTGAAATGGAAGTCCTTATGATTCTGTTTTCATAAATATTTTGCTTTTATATTTATAGCCAAGGTAGCAATCAATGGAGGTTTCCAGAAACTCGAGAATCTTAATCTTTCAATCAACCACAAGATTACAGAGGAAGGATACAGAAACTTCTTTCAAACACTGGACAACATGCCCAACTTGCAAGAGTTAACAATTTCCAGGCATTTCAAAGAATGTATCAAAGCTCAGGCCACAACAGTCAAGTCTTTGAGTCAATGTGTGTTACGACTGCCAAGACTCACTAGACTTAACATGTTAAGTTGGCTCCTGGATGCAGAAGACATCACACTGCTTACTGCCATGATAGAAAGGCATCCTCTATCTAAACACTTCACCCTTCACTGGAAATGGGTACTGCCATTCTCTCCAATCATTCAGAAATAGAAGATTTAGCTAAAAACTGCTAAATCAAGAAAATTTTTGTCAACAGTTTAAAAAACCTAATTATCCAAAAACTTGTTATTAAATACTGCATACAAAAGAATAAAATGCATAAGGCATGTAATAAAAAAACCAAACACCTGCTTACCCATTACTGAGCTTAAGAAACAGATTATGACCAGTAACTCTGAAGTCCCTAATGATCCTCCCCAACCAAAGATCAGACCTTTAATCAAGTTTACGCATCTAACTCATTACCCAGGGTCAGCGTCAGGCTTTCAGGCTAACTATGGTAAACAGTAACAAAGCCACAGAGAAGGGGGTAGGGAGAGGTGTACCAATCTATCTTAAAGCCACAATAAGAAAGGAGTATTCAAGTTATTAGAAAATGGCTAACTTAAGGACTGAATCACTTTCACACATAGGTGAAACAAGAGATATTCCTTAATCCTTGTAGGGTCTGTTTTGTACATTTAATTAACTTTGGTATAGTAGGGTTTACTTATACCTTCCCTTTACCAACTGTGTTGGATATGAAGCAATAGGTTTTAGGGAAAATGCTTGTATTCTAGAGGCTTTTGATTCAATGCTTATTGTAACAGCAAAAAAGTGTAGAATAGAATTTAGCATTATTGGAAATTAGCTAAATCTGCGTTTTCAAGAATCTTGAGTATCATCAGTGTTTTTTTAGATAACCACATGTTTAAGAGTCCAACATATGCATTTATAATGGCCTTAAAATTTTCTTATGAATCCACTTTACTCAGGGAGAACATATTTTGTCAGTGACTTCATAATGTTCAAGGTATTACATTTGATGTGAATGTCTACATCTGTGCCTGTGTCCAAAATTTCACTCCTACCAGTTAATCAACAGAGTTTTCTGAATGGTTAGAAGGCCAATCCAAATTCATAATGCTAGTATAAGTTGGAAAACAACCATTCTTTCACCTTAATTTTTATTTTTACTATGAAACACAGGGACGGTATATATGGTATGATTCCATTTGTTTAAAAACTATACTCTCATGTTTCTAGATGTATTAAGAATTTCTGGAAGAATACACAAGGAAATGGTAATAGTGGTAACTATTTTAAGTGGGTAGAAAGAGGACAGGAAGGCATTCTTTTTTACTTTCGTCCTTTTTGTACTGCTTTCTGTTTTACAAGTAGCTGTTTTTATTTTTATATTTAAAATAAAGCATAAAACTAGTTTAGCATTACAACATTAACAGTTGTTCTGGAGGGTGAGATTACGAGAAGGTGAGATGGATTATCTTCTTGTCTGATTTTATATCTAATGCTTTTCTAATCAGAAAGGTTTTAAGTTTTGTATCAGAGTCCAATCAGGAGATAGAAACCACACAGTAATTTGGGGAAAGTTCACTATAAAGAGTTATTCACTGTAACAGGAAACTGGAGTAATGAGGATTGATTATGAAATTGAGAACTCTAAGCAGGTATTGGCTCTTCATGCTAGGCTGAGAGACAGCACCCAAAGAAAGTACCCCAGGGCTGAGATCTAGACTTCGACAGAGAAGGCACAGCCATGGGACAACAGAGAGGTTGGCTTAATTAAAGAGGTGCAGCCCAAGAAGGTGTAAGCTTGGAGCACTTTGCTTAGAAAGTGTTTTGGGGGTGCCAGGGAAAGCCATCCACGTGGGGCTGCTGAGTGCCACTGGGCACTGCTGAAGGCAGGCACTGCACAAGGCTGCAGAAACCATGTGCTGCAGCTGTCTGCTAGAGAGGCGCACTGGACCCAAGAAAAGTAGTCCCTTGCCCCTCCTGTGTCTCACCAGCGCTCTCTACTGACGAAGCTTTACACTGTACCTGCTGACAAGGGAGGGGTAGTTAGTTACAGGGTCCAGATTCATTACTGCAGAGTAGGCAGTGAAGGCTGGATTTGGATATGAAGGCAGTAACGTCATAAGTGGTACAAGTATTACTTATTACATTTCATAGTTCAAACCTCAAGGAAAAAGAATCTAGTTAAGTTTAAGATTGACTGAGAGCATGTATGTACATGCATGTTCATACATAGAAAACTTCTTAAATAAGAAACTGTAAATGATGATAGATTCCAGGGAGGGGAGCAGGATGGCTAGTGGACACGGTAGGGAGGTTTACTTTATCCTGCATATAATCATCTGAATTCTGTACCGTATACATGTACTATTAAAAATACTTTAAAAAATAACAGGACTCCACGCAAATTATTTGTCCAGAGCTTCTGCCAAGGGCTTCTAGTATAAAGCAGGGGGCAGTGGGAATTCCCTGGTGGTCCAGAGGTTAGGACTCTGCACTTTCACTGCTGAGGGCCTGGGTTCAATCCCTGGTCTGGGAACTAAGATCCCATAAGCCATGTGGCAGGGCCCCCCCCCCCCACCAAAAAAAAAAGCAGGGGGCAGCAAAGTATGACCACAGCCTGTAAGCTAAGAATGTTTTTTTTACATTTTTAGAGGCCCACAAAGCTGAACTAATTTACCCTGGCCCTTTACAGAGAACGGATTATTTCTGGATCATAAGGTCACTATACCCTTTATTCCAGTATACATCAATTTCCACAGGACTCCTAGGTCATCCCTCATTGCCCTGACACTCATCCTTACGTTCCAAAACTTCTCCCTTTCTTTTTTTTTTTTTTTTTTTCTTGCGTTATGCGGGCCTCTCACTGTTGCGGCCTCCCCCATTTGCGGAGCACAGGCTCCGGACGCGCAGGCTCAGTGGCCATGGCTCACGGGCCCAGCCGCTCCGCGGCACGTGGGATCCTCCCGAAACGGGGCACGAACCCGCGCCCCCTGCATCGGCAGGCGGACTCCCAAGCACTGCGCCACCAGGGAAGCCCCCTTTACCTCTTTTCTAAACATTCTCTTCACCTTCTTGTTCTAATCCCGTATTTTTTAAACCCTTTTTTCACCATGACCCACAGTAAGAAATCTTACATTAAAAAATTTACACACATACACATATATACAACCAAGATTCACAAAAAATTCTAAAGTTATGTCAAATACAATTTCACTCATACCCAAATATAACAAAAATTCAGAAATACAAAGACTCTTGAAAGAGTTGTTTACATGTGCTGTGTCTTCATCTGTTCTTTTCCATCCTCTACCACCGCCTCCACTGCACCAAAACGGCCCTTACGGGGGTCACTGGTAAATTCAACAAATACTTCTTTGTCCTCAGCCTATGTGACGTGCTAGCAGCAGCTGACCTATTGGTAGCTCTGATATGGCCCATCACTCCTCGAAACACTTTCTCCATTTGGCTTCCAGGGCATCACTCTGGGTTTCCTCCTAATTAATTGAGAGCTCCATCTCAGTCTCTTTCACTGCTTCTCGCATCAGATCTCTAAACATTGGGAGTACCCCAGAGTTCTCCTCTAACATCTCTATTTATGTGCACTTCCTTGGCTATCTCATCCTGATGAATGGCTTTAAATTCTAGGTCTATGCTAACTTCTAAAATTTCATCTTTATCCCAGGTCTCTCCTTTGAACACTTTACTCATATCCAACTCCTCAGACTACACAGGTCCAAACCCAACTCCTCCTTCCTTTCTACAAAAGTACTCTTTATGCAGACTTCTCCATCTCATTACTTTATATAAACGTATTTATTTTTGGCTGTGTTGGGTCTTCATTGCCGTGTGTGGGCTTCTCACTGTGGTGGCCTCTCTTGTTGCGGAGCACAGGCTCTAGGCATGCAGGCTTAGTAGTTGTGGCTCACGGGCTTCGTGGCTCCATGGCATGTGGGATCTTCCCGGACCAGGGCTCGAACCCGTGTCCCCTGCATTGGCAGGTGGGTTCTTAACCACTGCGCCACCAGGGAAGTCGCCATCTCATTACTTTATTCTCCCACTTGCTCAGGCCAAAAACCTTGGGGGTCATTCTTGACTCCTTTCTTTCATACTCCACATGGAACCTACTGGCAAATCCTGAGCTCCACTTGGAAAATACACTCAGATCCAAGCCCTACTCGGCCTGCTCTGTCTCCCTTGAAACTTATGGTTTATTTTCAACAAAGCAGTCAGAAGCCTCTTTTTTGTTTAAATTATTATTTTGGGGGGCCACGCTGCTCGGCATGTGGGATCTTAGTTCCCCGACTAGGGATCAAACCCGTGCTCCCTGCAGTGGAAGCCCAGAGTCCTAACCACTGGACGCCCGGGGAGTTCCCCCCAGAAGCCTCTTTTTATGCATCCGATCATGCAACACCTTTGGTTCAAAACCTTCCAATGGATTCCCAAGACACGCTGAAGACCTTGTAATGGCCTACATATGAACTTAATCTCTCCTCCTTGCTCACTTCCACTCCAGCCAAGCTGGTTTCTTTGCTGTTCCCTGAACATGCTAAACACACTCTTGTCTTAGGACCTTTGCACCTGTCATTTTCTTTGCTTGGGAGGTTCTTCACTTATGTGAATGGCTCTCATTTTCTGCAGATCTCTGCTCAAATGTCACCTCAATTAAGAGTTCCCTGTTCTTTTTTTAAAAAGCATCCCTGCTTCCAATCCCACTCTGCCAGCTCCCTTTCCTGTTTCCCTTTTCTCTGCGACATGAATCACTACATGCCACCTTATAAATTTCACTTGTTTACTAGCTAGTTCCCACCACTCTAAGCAGGAACTTTCATCTGTTTTGTTCCCAAGCACCTAGAACAGTGCCTAATAGAAAGTTGAATAAATATTTGCTGAAATGAATGACTTTCCTGAACCTACAACTACTCTCCAACTGTATTAGGTACAATATTAAGGGAGGTAACATCCAAAAATCTTAGAAAGCAAATAAGCTACCTTCATAACTAAATGTAACCTGGCATATTTTAGGCAATTAATATAAAATATTAGCTAACTGTCATGAAAAATGATAAAACTCTACTTACCCTGTACAAAAAAGCTTAAGCCATAGAACGTTCCATTCTGCGAAGCTTACTTACCAGGCACTTGAATATTCACTTATTTATTCAAAAAATACTGGGCAGCTACTAATATGCTAGGCA